AATAATATATCGATTCTGTTAAAAGTTTCCGAATTCACGAAACGTAGAATACATAATATATCATAAATATAAAAACGTGTTTGTTATCGTCGTAATTATTGGGTAAATGTACTCCAATTTGCGAAATCTACTGGTTCATACGGGAGAGCCAATGTAGTTGTCGGAGTTGAAATTTGGGATTGTATTTGATTTTGCATCTCAATATAAGTTGGCGATTGAGAAATTGGTGTATTAGAAATATTTAGAAAATTTTCCATTTTTTCAATTCGATCAATAAGATCGCTGTTAGTTGGTGTTAATGTTGTCGGAGTTGCTAATTGAGTTTGTAATTGTAATTGGTTTTGCATCATCTCAAATCTATTAAATAGCTCGAAATTAATTTGACCAAATAAACTAAACAAATCCACTGTTCCAATCTTGGATAACGGTTTATCAATAATTTCCGTATTCTTTACCAAACTTTCTAATTTTCCAATTCGATCATTAAGAACTTTGATATATTCATCATTTTGCTCACATCGTCTGCAATAATTATTGCTTTCTTTTACGGCTTTTGGAGCCTTTGGAGCTTTCTTCTTTGTCGTCGGAGGATTTGACCTTTTGACCGTCATAATATGAGATTTACCAGTTAGGTCCACATGGTCATCGCTTACGGCAAGGGCTTTTCTCCCTCTTTTTGATTTGGTAACAACGAGTTTATCAAAGGAGAGTTGTGGGTTCATAATTTTTTTTTTCTTTATTAATTCCTTCTATGAAGGGTAGGGTGAGAAAGAAGTATTCTATCGATTATATTTATAGTAAAAATGCTCGAATGACCGAACAAATAATATCATGTTACAATTATTTTAATGAAACATTTTATTTAGACACAATCACAATCTATTTTTACCCCTTTCAAGGATATTTGTCATGTGTTATGTTAATTTTCCCCTTAATAAATAGCAATTTTTTTTTTTTTAACTATAGCTATGAATTTTATTAAAACTGTCAATGCATTGTTTTCTTATAATTCCAACATTTTTTTTTTAGATCCTTCCAAGTTATTTTATTTTTTTTTTTTAAAAAAAAAGAAAAAATACATAAAATAAATAAAAAATCGGGTCTCTACATAATCAAATTTTTATCATAAAACAATAGGTTAGGTTCATTATTTGTAATTATCATGAAAGGACTTTATCGAATTCTTTTATGCATGTACTTACGATAAAAAGAATTTTTAAATGATATTTATTTAGTTATCTCTATTATTAAATTTTATTCGGAAAGCATGATTCTTTTGATAAGACTTTGGGTTTCTCGTAGAACAAGATTCTGTCTTCTACTAAAAAGGCCTATTGTAACAAAGAAAAAAGTTCAGTGACATAATTGATTCCACAGAGAAAATACGAACAAGTAAAAGTTTCTGAAAGAACATTTTGTGTCCTTCCATATTTGGCCTAGTACGATTTCTACTTGTGCTTTGCAAACTGTCACACAGATTGTCCGATGGAAAAATTTTGAACCAATTTACGGATAGAACCGATATATTTAATTTTAGTAATAGTCTAGATGAGGAAATTTCCGATTGAAATCTTTTTTTTTTCAATCAGATCAGTTACCTGGTGTGAGAATATAAAACAAACATTACTTGTTAGATTTTCTTTTTTCTACAAAGATTGTCTTCAATTCCAATCTGTTTTTTTTATCATCATCTGACAGAACATGGTTTGGATGCTTACTAAATGCTTTTACTGATTTTATAATATATTTAAATTAAAATTTTCAAAATTAGTTTATACTATAAATGTATGTTGTTGTTAATT